AAAGACTCTTAGATACAATAAATAATGTGGTAATGTGGCTGGATACAAAATCAATACTCAGAAATCAATAGCATTCCTATACACGAACAACAAAATCACAGAGAGGGAAATAAGAGAAACTACACTCTTCACATTAGCAAACAAAAAAATGAAATATTTAGGAATTACTCTTATGAAAGAAGTGAGAGACTTATATGGTGAAAATTATAATACACTGAAACAAGAAATTGAAGATGATCTCAGAAAATGGAAAGACATCCCTTGCTCATGGATAGGAAGAACACACATTGTGAAAATGGCCATTCTCCCAAAACTGTTATACAATGCAAAGCAATCCCAATAAAAATATCATCAACACACCTTATAGATCTAGAGAAGTCACTCCTAAAATTCATCTGGAGCCAGAAGAGACCTAGAATAGCAAAGGCAATTCTAAGCAGCAAAGGCAAAGCAGGAGGCATCACAATCCCTGACTTGAACTTATACTACAAAGGAACAGTAGTAAAATCAACATGGTATTGGAATCAAAACAGAGCCTAAGATCAATGGAATAGATTAGAAGATACAACCACAACTACAAACACACTCAACCACCTTATCTTTGATAAAGGAGCCAAGCAAGGTCACTGGAAGAACAACTGTCTCTTTAATAAATGGTGCTGGAAAAACTGGCTCTCCATTTGCTGAAAACTAAAGCTAGACCCGTGTCTATCACCATGTACTAAAATAAAATCTAAATGGGTCAAAGATCTGAATATTAAAACAGAAACACTAAATCTATTGGAAAACAAATTGGGTAGAAACCTTGAAGACATAAGAGTAGGTAGAAAATTCATGAACAGGACTCAAAACGCATGGGAAATACTTCCCAGAATACTTCTCACTTCTTATTAAAAAGTTTCTGCATGTCAAAAGAAATCTCCAGCATAGTGAAAAGAAAACCCACAAACTGGGAAAAGATTTTAGTGAACTCTCTCTCAGACAAGGGACTCTTGTCTAAAACATATAAAGAATTAAAAAAACTCAGACCTCCAAAATTTAAAGATCCAGTCCAAAACTGGGCATCTGAGATGAATACGCACTTCTCAGATGAAGAAATGCAAATGGCAAATAAATACATGAAAAAATGTTCATCATCATTGGTCATTAGAGAAATGCAAATTAAAACCACACTGAGATACCACCTCACTCCTGAAAGAATGGCCAGGATCAAGAAAACCAACAACAACAAATGCTGGAGAGGCTGTGGGGAAAAAGGAACTCTCCTACATTGTTGGTGGGAGTGTAAACTAGTACAGCCTTTGTGGGGGTCAGTCTGGAGATTTCTCAAAAAGCTGGGATTGGAAATCCCATTTATTCCAGATATTCCACTTCTAGGCATATTCCCAGAAGAACTGAAAGCATCATACCACAGTGATATATGCACACCTATGTTTATACCAGCACAATTTCTAATCGCCAGATCTTGGAAACAACCCAAGTGTCCATCAACTGAGGAATGGATAAAAGAGTTGTGGTATTTCTATACAATGGAGTATTATTCAGCTATAAAGAAGGATCACATTGAGATATTTATTAATAAATGGGCGCATCTTGAGACCTTATTCATAAGTGAAATAAATCAATCTCGCATGTGTGAATACCAAATAGTTTCCCTAATGTAAGTAATGATTCAAATATATAAAAATATGTGGTAATCATGATTCCCCTTTATGTGGCCTTGAAGCCTTATAAAGTTTTCACTTATTAATTGGAAAGGCTTTATTCTGGGCTTCTTGATATGGAAATATTGAAGCTATAGTATATGAAGTTTTATTCAAATACTTCAAAGAAAAAGACAGACACTATGGTAACTACTATTAAGTCAGGTTATTTGGTGGTGAAGCACTAGGTTGCTGAAACACTCATGCTTTGACCTGTATTGTTATATTGTTATGTCCTCTTTTATCTCACTCTCTCCCTTATTCCTTAAAAAAATTATTATTTTTTATGGTTTTTAATTAAGGGGGAAAATTTTAAAAATTAGCAGGATATATAATAGTAACTTTTTTTTGATTTTCTATTAACTTGTTTTGAAGTCCTGTGATACTCCCATGATTTTTTTGACTGATTAGACTCTGTTCCATTCTGTATGATAGTATCAAGTTTGAGGGTATAGGCAACTAATTTGAAGGCAATAAGATTCACTAAGATGCCCATTCTGGTTTGACTATTGTCTCCTTTGGAAATCCTGTAATGTTTACAATGCTTAAGTTTTATTGATCTTGTTCTCTACTGTTTGGTTCAACTTTATAATACCTAATGAGATAGACAATTCTTTTTAAGGAAACAAGAGACATTGTTGATAACCATTGTTGATAACCTTGCACTCTGTTTTACATCATGTGCTATGTCTATTCTTGGTTTTGACTGACAGCTTTGTTTTGCCATATTTGACTTTATTCTCTCCCAAAAAATAAGTAATAATAACTAAGGAGTAATAAAACCCAAAGTAATAAGAAGGAGTAATAAAACCCAAAATGTTTAAATTTTGTTGTAAAAAAGAGAGGGGAAAAAAGTGCTCTAAAGGATGCAACAGCAAGTGTCTTTAGGGGTGTTAAATAGATGACCATATTAACGTTTTTGGTTGGATCATTGAACACAACTGTTTGCAGTCTCACTGTTTGAATGCCCACTTTGTATGCTTTGATACTGTGATTTGAGCAACTATCTCTAAGATGATAATATGTAATCTATTAACTGGTGATTTCTTACTTTTTTTTGTAGTTCTGTATTACTTGTACCCTTACCCCGCTTTGTTTTGTTTTGTTTTTTCCTCTTTTTCGTTTTAAATAAAATTTTATAAAAAATGGTCTGCACCTAACCACTCCCCAGGATGATTGTCGAGAGCATGAGCTGCAAATATAAACCAATAAAATTATAACATAAAAAAACTGAGGTAAAGTGTGGCTTCCTATCAGGATCTGGGGCCTCTCCATGTAATATTTATCTCAATTCTTTCAAATTCACATGTCCATCCTCATCATGAAGTCTCAGCCTAGTGGTTGGATAGAACATGTTCTCAGCTGTGCAGAATTCACATTATAGTGGGTCAAAATGACTCTGCTGTGTTCATCTGGCACAGGACCCAGTGAAGCTCAGCGAACCTGGTAACAGTCTGGATGGAAGCTGGATCCACCGTGAGGAGCAGTCAGTGTGAGCCTAATCACAACCCTCACCCCCACAGGGATCAGGACCCACAGACCCTGCACCTCACAGCCCAGGGGTGTGCAGTCCCCTCAGAGGGAGCCAAGGAGCACTCAGTAGGATCAGGTTTCCCAGGAGTCAGCCCTCCCAAGTCCCAGCACAGGAGCAGCTGCACGGAGACCCATTAGCAGCTGAGACCCTGTTCCTCCTCACTCCTCATCCTCCTTTCCCACTTTCCTCTATGGAAGTAGAGTAATAATGGGCCCTGTGTGTCTTTCATTACATGTTCTACATAGATGTTAGGATAATAATATTTTATAAGCATTAATCTGATAATCATTGACAAACTTATTGAAATAACTTGTATATCAAAAATGTCACCAATTAAAAGTTTAAAGGTCATTATTTGTGAATTTATGCTATGAAAACTGCAACCATCCACACAAAGTCCTTTTAAATCATATTTCTAAATTCCAAAGGGACACCACATTTTTCGCTGTCCTGTCCATTCTTGCACAGCCCACTACCTAATTCCACCACATGAGAACAAAACTATTTCTGTCGTTATGGGTTTCCCATTTCTGGAAATTTTTCTTAAGGTTCCTAAAATAAGGAAGGTTTTATCCAAATTCAATGCTTAGCAAAACAATTTCAGTTGTTTGCATTTTATGCCACTTTCTGTGGTTAGGCTACGAACTACAGGAAATACACAGACTACTGTGGATGTGGAAATATTAGAGTCCTTAAAAATGTTGGTGAAAGTGACAGATTTCCTAGCTCATCTAGTAGATAAGTATCTTTTAAAATTAACACAAGGAATTCCTTATGTGACTTTACAGTTGGGTAATTAGCCAACAGTATTGAAACTGCATATTTATACAACATTTTGCAACCTAAGGTTCCTGTAAAAATTCTTCTTGGTAATCAAACTTAGAAACTACCCAAAAGACCATCACTTCAGAGAGGGCAATCAAATAACTTATGTCCACATGCGAGATATCCTTCATCCATAAAGGAAATGTAATTTATATCTTTATGATTGCATAATGTTCCTTCAAAAACAGTCATAAATATAAAAAATCCCATAAATATAAAAAATCTACAGATATGTAATATCCACATTTTTTGTGGCATTACATCCAGAAAATAGTTGTACCTTCCAGTGATGTAAGGACATGGATTACACAGGGAAAATATAGAAATATCATGAATTTAAAATTTTTTTAAAAATAAATATCATGAATTTCCTTACAATGCTGAACATGCAGAGTAAGTGCTCTTAGAAGAGAGTCACAAATAACTTAATGCTGAAAATCCCACTCAGCTGTGTACTTACAATTTGCTCTCACTGTATGTGGGTAAAATTCCTGCAAAGTGCCATCGTAAAAGATAAATCAAAAGAGCTAACACATAATACATTTCTGAAGCAAGCAAACAGTCCAGAAAACAAATTTAAAGTTCAAAAACTACTGTAAAGTTCTAGCAATACACTAATGTGGAAACCATGCACAGATGTATAAGAATAATACAAGGGACTTCCGGGAGAACATGGCGACAAATGACAGCAGCCACGGAGGCTTTCTGAGATTACCAGCTTAGAATCCAGGAGCGGTGCCGTGTGAGGAGCCCTAAGCAAGGGGAGATGTACCCTGCCAACCCAGGAACTGAACTGAGAGAAACCAACTGGAAATGCAATTCTCAGGCTATAACAGGAACAGATAAAATCTCAGCGTGGAAGCTGGATCCTGCACCATTGGAAGCCATGATTTGAATTTCCTGCTGCTGCTGCTACTATGTCCCAATCTGCACCGCAGGTAGAGAGATGCGCAAAAGCTTTGAGAGTGGGAATCGACAAACCAAAGAGCGTTGAGAGGGGGACTGGCAGGGAGCCGTGCATCAACCTGCAGTGAGTGAGAGAAATGGGGACCCTTTCATAGGCTAGGAGGCTCCAACAGAGGACATTCTGGGAACAGGCAGACTAGCCAGAACTGGGCCCTGCAGTGACTTTAGTCACATTTCCCCTCTCAAGCGGGATTTGTGGGGAGCGCTTGGCCTGGTGACGCATTTGCTACACCAGAATCAGATTTGATGATCATTCTGCTATAAGCAATCTTGCAAAACAGTTAGTGCATTGTGTGTTTTGAAAACTAGAAATAGCAAAAATGAGTTTTAAATATGGAGCAGGGGTACAAACTAGAAAGCATTTGGAGACTCTCTCTCTCTCTCTCTCTCTCTCTCTCTCTCTCTCACACACACACACACACACACACACACAGGGATTTCGATACACATATCCATTTCATTTAAGAAAAGTATATTTAAACTTTGAATGCCCACATTTTCACAAAATTCATTTATCTTTGCCAGAGCTCTCAGTTTCTTTATTGTGCTTCATTACTTGTGTAATTATCAATCACTCATCTGTATGTGATGTTGCATGAAATAGGAAATGACTTCTGAAAACTAAATAATGTCTCCCTCCTATAATCAGTTTCTTGTGAGTTAAGAATACACTGACCTGAAGGAAATGACCTACACTGCTGACCCCTTCACATTCATGACTCCTGAAGGCAGAGCTAGTGATGTCCTGACACTGAAATACCCGCCTCTCTCAAGTCACAATGGACTTCACCATCAAGCTCATCATGTGAAACTAAACAACCCTCATCTCTTCATCCTTCACTGCTCCATCTGGCTGTCAGAGCAAGACCCAGACCAACTCAGGTGCAGGAAGTGAACTGCGCAGAAGGTAGGAAACTGCAGAGCCTCCCGAAAAATGACGCCAGCACAAGAGTGGGATTGGATCCGGGGCAGAGCAGCCACAGAGTGCACGTCTGTGGTCTCATTTGTTGCAAAACCTTGACCTACAGAGTCATCATCATAAAAAGCGGTCAAGGATACTTCAGGCTTCAGCCACCCTTCATTTATTTAGAGGATATTTGCATTCGACCTTTAATTTGGTACTAGACAGATTGAAAGCTTTGGGGCCATTAAGAAAGAGTAAAATGACTTCAGTAAGAGATAGAAGGAGGATGGAGAAGAGGATGGAGAGCTAGGTCTGAGAGCCTAGGCTTCCAGTGTTTCCATAGGGGAGCTCATGAGTCCCCTGGAGGACATCATTACCACGTGGAGTCTTTTTTGAGAGATTTGCCTGGAAGAGAGCAGAGTTCCTAGTTGAAATCAGTTGAGACATGAGCTGATCTCTTGTTTTGCCTCCCTGCAATGGAGGGACCCAGTGTGCATCTCTTCCACTATCTGAGGGTGCAGAAACTAGACAAGAGTTAGAGCACACAGCTGAATCCTGCCGGATCGCAGCTCCGTCATTGCCTGCTCTTGAACTTTCAGGACCAGAAATGTAAGAAAAAACATGTATGTCATGTAAGTTGCTCTTGTGGAGTATTTTTACAGGGGCTGTCATAGACATGCTCACCCCCTAAGTTTCTGCACCTGTCTGTTAACACTCTGACGTTTCAGCACACGCAGCCTTTAGTAATCCAGAAATTGCTTCCAGGTTAATCACCTGATCACATGGCCTAGGATGACCTGGGACCTAGGTAGATAAAGTTTCATCCTATTTATTATGTAAAGCTTGTATCCCCAAATTCTGTATATTTTTTGCCTTATAATTTCATTCCTTTTATGTGGTTACAAAATTTGATTTAGTTAATCCAGTTTTTTATGGTTGTACTGTTTGTTATTTAAAAACAACTTTTTTGGTCTACATTTTGAAGATGATGATGAGAGGCCTTTGTAATAACCAGAAGCTTGGAACATTTAAATAAACACTAACAGACTACCTGAGGAATTAATCTGAAGCATTTAACCATTAATTTACTGATTATTTTTACCTTACTGGGGAAGAAAAGTCCTCAGAATCAATAGGTAAATAGCCTAGCACTGAGCTGTATTTCCTGTTTTATTTTTACATATTTGTGAGTGAATCAGCTTAAATATCTGTGACTGCTCATTCATATAGTCATATACAGATATCTCAAATAAATATTCTGTGTTAAACATATTCAGCATTATAGAGGGTATGCTCTTAGTATATATGTTGAAATAGGAAAGTTAATGTGAAGCAACCTGAGGATGGTCACAAACTTGCTGGAGATGGGATGCGGGAGGGGAGTAGGGGAGGGAGGGATTGCAGAGGAGCCTCAGGATACATTGAGGATGACCCATGAGTTCACTGCTGAGATTGTGTGGGTTGTGGTACAAGTGTTCCTGTGTTTAAATACTTCTCAGGTGCACACTTTTTCTATGGGAAGTATATGTGTTATGTCTAATGAAGCTATCACAGACACACAAAGTCTCAATACACAGAAAGAGTGAGAGAGTCAATGAGAGGTGAAACTAAGAGCCTCAGTAGCAGGCATCCACATGGACAAAGCGTGTGTTTTCTCTCAGCAGACAGAAGAATGTAGCAAAGTCACACATGTCCTCTCTGTAGGAAGAGGGGAAGACAGTCATCCCAGGTGTGTGTGATCTATCCAGGATGTGGAACAAGAAGCAGTTTGTTCACAGCTTAGAAGAGCGTAGGCCCAGAGATTGGGAGGACATTTACAGCACATCAGCTCTCCTATAGGAAAGGAAAATATTCCTGACAATTTGATAAATTTACAAATTTCCAAAGCAGAAAAATACAAATAATCGTGTTATGAGTACATGAAAAATAAAGAGACAAAGAGATAAAGACCAAAAATTCATCTCATGATGAGTTTTTATGTTGTCTTGAATGACATCATTGTAGCCAAACATTCTCAGCACACTAACATCAGATGGGAGCTCTGTGCTTTCTGAGTTTTTCATGCCCAGAGCTGTCTGTATAGCAGGAGGCCATGCAAATAGGGCCTCCCTGTGCTCATGAAAACAAGCCCAGCCTTCATCCTGCAGCTCTGCAAAGGAGCCCAGCCCTCGATGCCCAGCTGTTCCCACTTGGTGATCCAGACTGATCACAGACAATTACTGTGGAGTTTGGGCTGAGTTGGGTTTTTCTGTTTGCACTTCTGAAAGGTAAATTATTGAGAACAAAGGATACGGAATGGGAAAATGGACATGTCAGGGATAAACAGTGGACATGTGTGACAGTTTCCTGAACAGAATGTTCTTGTGTTTTCAGGTGTCCAGGCTGAGGAGTAGCTAGTGGAGTCCCTGAGACTCACCTGGGTGACCTCAGGATTCACGTTCAGTAGCAATGACATGAGCTGGATCCCCCAGGCTCCAGGAAAGGGGCTGGAGTGGATCTCATACATCAGTACTGGTGGTAGCACATACTATGCAGATTCTGTGAAGGGCCGATTCACCATCTCCAGACACGACAGCTAGAACACGCTGTATTTGCAGATGACCAGCCTGAAAACCGAGGACACGGCGGTGTATTATTGTGCCAGACACACAGTGAGGGAACATTAGGGTGAACCCAAAAACCTCACTGCAATGGAGAACATGCCCAGCAGAGGTCGATATGGAGAACTAGGCAGGGCCTAAGGAGCAGGTGCAGAGAAGGAAGCAGAGGAGAGAGGGCTTCCTGGGGCCTCTGGGGTTCCCTTCTGCTTTAAGGCCTTAGGTCCTGAATTGACACACAATGAAGTACCCAAGATCAAGGGAGAATTCTCTGTTACATGGAATTGTGTGAATACTTAAGAACTGATATTTTTTTCATTTTCTGTGTATGAATTTTACTTGCACCCATCTCAACTAACCTGTGCCTTTTATATAGTTAATTTTTTATTCAGTGTCATATTCTCATCATCTAAAAATGGATCTGCTGGTTTAGTTTGGGTGATGAGGAACTATCTCATGCAGTAATAAATGCTTCAGATTAGGAAATTAAATCCTTCCCATCTCTCTCTGTGGGATCTCAGATCACACAGCTCCCTCCCCTCTTTGGTCACCTCAGGAGACCTGGTGCCCAGGCTCAGCCCCAGCACCATGAGGAGCCCTGAGCTCAGGGGAGGAGGGAGAGGGGCAGCCTGACTGGACTCAGGGCAGTATCTGTGGGCCCAAATGTGCTCTTCCTAGACAAGAGGGCTGAGTAGGACTTGGTCCTGTGCCTTTCTTTTGTACCTTACAAATTAAAAAATTTATAAAATACAGCAAAACCATTCTCTATCTTAATCTCCATTTCTCTCTCTTGCACCACTTTCTTTTCCTGTTTTTTTTACAGCTTTACTTTACAGGAATAAAATAGAACAGTAAAGTGAAACAAAACAAAACAGTGATAGGACAGTAGGAGACTCACCATTGTTACTATACTGCATAACCTCATCCTCTAATTAGTTGCTCAGGCTCTGGCCCCAGGCTTGCAAAGTCAGTCAAACAATTTAAGTGTCAGGTCGCTGCCTTACTTCAATCAGTAACATCCTAGCCTGCACTGCGCCCCATTGCTTATGTGTGTGTCACTGAGGGGCAAGAGGGATAGGCTGCACGGCTTCCTTGCTGCTTCTCCCCACTTGACAGGGCCTCCACCAGCACATGAGGTGAAGGGACTGCACTGCTTCCAGCTGTTTTTCTCATCCAGCCAGACCAGCACCCCTGACTCTATTATTCTTGGTTGGTCCCTGAATTCTCGGTCTCCATGGATTTCAACTCACAAGTCTGACCCTTCCCGTGTCCATGGGCCTCACTTCTGTCTTCCAAATCCCCCTCATGTTGCTTTGATCCAGGGTCTGGATAGCAGGCAAGGAGCAGTTCTCCTCTGCTGCTCACTGCTCCTCCGTTCTCCTGTGTTGCCTCTTTCTTACTCATCTCTCCTTTTCAGTCTATCAGGAAAGCAATGGAGAATAGATGAGATGAAACCCTCCAGTCTCACAGAGTTCATGGTTTTTCCTAAATGGATTCCCATGATTCTGCCTTGATGCATTTTATTTTATCTCACTTAATTCTGCATTTGACAATCATCCATGAATCTGTAAATTTTTCTAAAACTATCAAATATACTCCAATGGTTACTAATATCACTCTTATCATTACAGTGTTCTGTGACCAGGTCCCTAGTGAACAGCACTAAATCACTTGCATGCACATGGATAGCTCCTGAAGGCAGAGCAGAGCTGACATTCTCACACACAGTCCCCATCTCTCAGATGTAACCAAGACCTCACCCTCACATTCATCCCCAGAGGCTAACACACCCCCACCTCCTCACCCTGCTGTGTTTCTCATCTGGCCAGCATCCTCACTGATGTGTCGTGTGGTTAAGGACTGAGAATTCATTTTCTTGATGTGATGTCTCTGGGGCATCTGTTGTTTCCTACCCAGGACCTCCCCATCTTTGAGAATATGCACTTCCGCAGTATGGTGTCTGATCCCCTCCACTGCACTTTCTGAATTACAACTTCCTGCAGATTCCTGAAAATCTGAAATATTTTATGAGTTTTCCTCTGTTTCATTCATCTCCATTGCTCTGAATTAAGTCGTGATTGTGCAGATACCATTTTCAAATTGAGACCTTAGAAATCTGGCTCGGGTAATAGCTCAAATTTAGCATTCATGTTGTAAAAAGAAAAGTAGTGAATGGAACCAGGAGGAACATGGAGCTCCTGGGTGTTCATCTCACCACGCACCTCAGCTGAGCTTTATTCAGCAACACTGCTGCTCCCCTGTGTCACGGTGTCTCTACATTCCTGATCTGACAGTTATGAACAGCCGCTTTTCTTCTCAGATGTGTTTCACAAAGTTCACCTCCCACCCTTAGTTTATGCTCTCATGTCATCATGGAGGGAAAGCCATCAGTGAGCCATCCTCACTTCCTACTTATGAAATCCACCACTGCCTTAGTCCCTGGTTATCAACTTCCTCCTCACTGCTCCATTCCAGGGGTTTTCCTCTTCCTCTTCCTGTGTCAGTGTCTGTTAATTGTTGGATCTTCCCTCCAGAACTGTAACACGATGTAGATTACATGCAATGGTTGTCAGTTTAAAAACCCACAAAGGAAACAGGCACATCCCTAACCTTAGTGAACAAATGCTCACTGGCCTCACAAGGATTTAGCAGAGCCTGTGACCGCCCTCCACACCATGAAAGTTTATGCATAACTGAATGTTTATTCTTCTCTCTGTGGAATATCTTTGTCTTCCTACAAATCTGTTAAAGTCATGTAATTCAGAACAGAGATCAGAACCATGGATGCAGGAGTAACTCTAAGCATGACCTCAGAGCAGGAAGGTAAAGGGGTCTGGTATCAAAGATCAGAACCAGTTTCTACCCAGAGAGGTACAGACACACTTACTTCTAGATGTCAGTGTCAGTGCTCTCTTACTAGGACTCAGAACAGCTCCACCTGCTTGACCTGATCCTATCCTGAGAGTCCATGTACAGTCTGCTAATCTATTTCTCCTTATTATTATTTACTGGATTGTTACCTGCATGCAGGCTACCTGATTTGAGTAGATTTGTGGAAGGAGATAAAAAGGGTAAAAAGCACATCGTATTGTCTAACTAACCCTGATGAATGTAATCATTATATCCTGAAAATATGTACTAATGAAAAATATCTTTTAAAATGATAATGGTGCACAGAGTGCAATATGCTAGGTTGAGGTCTCGATCCAGGGAGTGACATGGTGAAATAAGAATTTCAGAGGACATGGATAGAGATCAGTCAATGCATTGAAAGGACAGTGCACTGAAGGGCAGGTTCCCATCCCAGTCACAGGTGTGACATAATAGCACAGCAGACCTAGTGTCTTGTAGATCACAGGTAAGATTTCCATGGGGCTTTTCCTTTTCCAAAGTAGACAAATAGCACTCAAGGCAGTGGTGATGATGTTGGACATTTGTGGGTCCCGGCTGAAGAGGTCCCACACAGAGTGACCCCTTCATCCAGAATCTGCTCCTCTGCACACTGGAGGTCAGAATGCACAGTCCCCATGCTCAGGGTCTCCCAGTTAGGTGGGATGGAGCTGGGCTCAGATCTCCATCATGACTCACTCAGGAATCCTCAGCCCCACTTTCCTGACTCACAGATGAATTGATAAGGATGTGAGCTCACACAGGAATAAATTTGGGAGATCTAATTAATGACATTGGTAGATTCCATCTCTTTGTGGTAACCTTAGAAAATTTATAAAGTGTTTGCTATGGAACTGAGTGGCAAGAAATCATGAGAGTTTTTGCTGCACTGCACTGCACTGGAAAACATTTCACTGAATCCCCAGTGTACCAACAGTGACCAAGTACTGCATGCTTCTGGCTGAAAAAGATTGGAAAGTCAGAGTTAAGTTTTAATTTTAGGTACATTGTCATGATGAGCATAGTGTTTATAGTGGATAATTGCTCAAAAAGGGACAACTGTAATTAGATAAGCATTTGGAATTTAGGAATCACAAAACATGAGAAGAAGGGGAAGCTAGAAGGGAAAAGATAGCCAGCACCTACACAAGGTCAGGTAGGGAAGGGACACTTAGCACAGACAACCTTCTTCCCTCCCCCAGTGAGGCTTCTCTGTGAGGAAGGCACAGGACTCACATCCTCATCTCCAGTCTTTGTGGGCTCTGGTCAGTGAGACCTGGTGTCTCAGAACAGGAGGCAGGAAGACCTCTCCTGACAAAGTTAATGGTGGTGAAGTGAGCTTTCCAGCAATGTGGACCACACCAGAGGCGAGAGGTCGGGGAAAGGTGGAGGGAGTTATGCTCGTCTTTATCCTGTGGAAGCAACACCAGAGCTCCTGTAGGAGGGCACAGTCAGGATGGGAACAAAAAGGGAGCAGGGCTGGAGGAAGCTGGTGTAGGATTAGGAAGGAGGGGTCATGGCCATGCTTCCTCCACTGCAGGGAAGGCAGCTTCCCACCTCTCACAGATGTGGACACCACAGGAGTGCAGGGGAGGAGATTCCTTTCTGCATCACAAGGACCAGAAACATCCTTACCTCTACGTCACCATCATAAAGAAAAGGAGCCTCCCTAATGCAAATTTGTCTCCCAAATCTAGACTCAAATTCCCCTCTTGAGCTAGTGGAACAGATAGCTCCTTACTCAGACACCCTAAGATCTCTGCAGAAGGTAAAGGTGTGACCTAGAATATGAAACTTCTGGGTCTTCTCCTGTGCCTGGTGATAGGTCCGCATGGTGAATGTCCTCAGTGTCAGACATGGGTCAATGGGAAGATTAGAAAAGCAGGTGGCTGATAGGAATTTTACCCTTGCTTCCAGGTGTCCTGTCTCAGGAGCAGATTCAGGAGTAAGGGCCTGGTCTGGTGAAGCCATAGCAGACCCTGTCCCTCACCTGCTCAGTCTCTGGATTCTCCATCACAATCAGAGGTCATGACTGGAGCTGGATCCATCAGCCTCCAGGAAAGATTCTGGAGTGGATGGGGTACATAACTATCAGTGGTGGCACTGATTACAGCCCTTCCCTCAAGAGCCGCATCTCTATTTCCAGAGACACAGGCAAAAACCAGTTCTCCCTGCAGCTGAACTCTGTCACCAAGGAAGACACAGCCAACTATTATCCGCCATGCACCGGGCAAACCATTCCACCTGGCTCTATAGTGTTCTCTCCTCTATCACCTTTGTTCCACAGTCTGCCCTTTCTCAACGTGGAATTCAATAACCATTGGCACCGCTTTAACCAATGCATCATCCACATAGCATATGCAAGTGCACCAGGTACCTCTTTGTTCCAACATCCTCCACCATATTCTGGGCTGCAAAATCCCGAGAAAACCCTCATTTCCATCTGGGGCCATAGAAAATTTGTGCTTCTCTTCCAAAGTAATTTTCCCATTAAAACTCATAGCAGGCAGCATGCCCTGATCAAAATAGATTACATTTTCTTTTTTCAACCAAAGTGCTTGTGTTTTATGAAGAACTCCTTGTCTCTTCCATTGTTCTTCCACTGGCCCCTATATACCATGGACTGATCCACTTGAGGCCATGATAGCTTTAACTAACAGCTGTATCTTCAGGACAAGCTCTGCTGGAATCTGAAAATGTCTTATGGGATACTGAACCCCCATCACACTTCCTTCCAGGATATGCCATTCCAACTGTTGCCCTCTGTCCATCTGCTAGCAGGGGAACTGCTCCTTTGTTCTGAGAAATCTTGAAAAGTCACTGTCCCAGGCCTGGCACTGATCTTCGTACTAGTAGCACTGCTCACCACCTCTCCAGGGGCAGTTTTCATTGGTGCATGTGCTTTCTCTTGCTAAAAAAAACAGTTAAATCCTACAGTTGGTGTTTGATACATCTGTGCATACCTGCTTCACCTGATCCGGATCTAGGCTGCCTCCCAGGCAACCTACAGCCTTCCTCAATGCTGCTCGACCTGGATGTGCACAGGGGGATGCATCCCTGAAGCACAGATTAAGTCTAAAGGTAGAGAAATTGGAGCAAATTTTAACTACCGGAAAGAGGCTCTGTGAATCTCACTGCACATGCCCAGCTCTATTCTGAACATCACAAGGGAGGACCTGGTTCCCCTGGACTTCTCACACCATATATCAACACTTGGTCACACTGAATCACTCATTTGTGTTTCTGTAATGAATTCAACATTTGTACAATGGAGCAAACTCTGACACCTGTATAATGTATTTAAATATGTAAAAATGAAATAATGCTATGAATTAGACTTGAGTGTCATAACAGAGTTACATGAAATTCTTGTTTTACATAATGATATTATTTTCACCAAACTTGACCTGCAGACTTACATGAATCTGCTACTGAAGTTTTTCTACTTCCCGGCCTCAGAGCTCTCTATATAGCAGGAGGCCATGCAAATGGGGCCTCCCCGTCCCAATGTAAACCAGTCCACCCCTCACTCTGCAGCTCTGCCGAGGAGCCCAGCCCTGGAGTCCCAGGTGTTTCCTTTCAGGGATCGGGACTGAGCACAGACAGCCCACAATGGAGCTTGCGCTGAGATGGGTTTTCCTTGTTGCTGTTTTAAAAGGTAATTAGTGAAGAACAAGAGATATTTAGTAGGAGAGAGTGGGATAAATGGTAGACATATGTGACAGTTTTCTGAGCAAGATATCTCTGTGTTTGCAGGTGTCCAGGCTGAGGTGCAGCTGGTAGAGTCTGGAGGAGGCTTGGTGCAACCTGAGGGGTCCTTGAGACTGTCCTGCGTGACCTCCGGATTCACCTTTAGCGATTACTACATGCACTGGATCCGCCAGGCTCCAGGAAAGGACCTAGAGTGGGTTGGTTTTATCAGAAACGCAGCTTATAGTCACACAACAGAGTACGCTGCATCCGTGAAAGGCAGATTCACCATCTCCAGGGATAATGCCAAAAGCACAGTGTATCTTCAAATGACCAAACTGAAACCCGAGGACACCGCTGTGTACTACTGTGCAAGAGACACAGTGAGAGGACATCAATGTGAGCCCTTACACAAACCTCCCTGCTGTGGTACTCTGGACCAGCAGGGGGCGCACAGGACACACGGAGTTCAGCCCTGTGCAGGACAGGAGCACAGGATGGAGCAGAATTATTTCCTGTGGAGATGTGAGGCTTCGGTCCACGTGACGTATTTCCCGGGAGACTCTGCATTCGTGAGTCTGTGCTTATCTTTCATGCTCCTGGAGTAAAAATTTAACTCAATAGTAAGATATATTCTCATCTGTACACATGTTCAAGTGTAATTGTTGAAGGTAAAAATGAGTCTTCTGTGAACACAGGACTGGAACTTGAGGACGCACAGGCAGTAATTCATACCTTTTTCCATTGAAAAGGACCTTATTGATGTTCCCTTTCACCACCAGTTTTGATACTTAGATTAGAGGCAGTAGAGAGATAACCCGAGATTAATAATGGATAAAACTTTGGAAAACTTAAATCTTACATTCCTTGTGATATATAACTGCATAAATCAAACTCAGAGCTCATTTAATTATCTTTTTAAATAATGTATTTTTCACTTAGTTTTTATTCTCGAATCTCCTTTTTTAAATCTACGTTCTTAGAATGAAACACAAGACCTTCCTGCAGAATCTCCAATGGAGTCACCAGTGTACACCCATGTGTGCCCTGGTCCCTCAAGAAGGGAGCTAGGAGACCAGTGGTATCCAAGGCACGGAGAGCAGGTCATCAGAAAGAGCCGCCAGGAAATATTTGACAGGAACTGAAGGTGCACCCACCATAGAACTTCATCTATTAACATTTTCGTTTCAATATATCAAATACGTCTCCTTCATCTAAGAAAATGATCTTGACAAAGTAAACGAAGAACCACTCAGCCTCAATACCATGTGTAGAATACCTTCACTGCTCTCCCATAACTAGAAACAGACCCATCCACACATGTAAAATTTATTTTTTACAGGGTAACACAGTAGTTGACTAGAGATGTTTATTTCAACGAATATTTAAACAAATAACAAGATGAATAATAGCAAGTGTTATAAAGTACGTTGAAGAAATTAACCCCTAGTGCACTGTTGGAGGGAATGTAAATTATTGCAATGAGGGGAGTGATTATTCTATAGGACAGCGACTCTGGAATCTCCTGAGCGCGTTTATGACCAATTTGCAGGAAAAATTCGCCGCGTCCATTAAGAAAACCAGGAAGGCTTTGAAAAGCCAGGAGTAAAGCCCTTAAATGCTAATATGGTCAGGCGAGATGAGAGTTACACGGGAGAGCCTAGTCCAGAAGAGAATTGCTTCTCTGGCAGCTCAGCTGTTAGACAATAGAGCAGGAGCCAATCAGCAAGGAAGGCGGCGCCTGGATGAGTTACCCAATCAGGTGGGCTGAGGGGACGGGCACTTCCTGTGTCATGGCATACAGTGGGCTTCGTCGGTGTTGCTGAGAGTCCCTGCTGGCTAGACCGGGTTTTGTGTACTATCGCCTGGCTGCGCGCTGCATTCGAAGGCTCCCGGGAGACCCTCAAGCCACACAATGGTGACGTTGTAGGACGGGAGCCGGGGATGGGACGAAATCGGGTGTATTCTGGAGGGAAGTGGTCGGAAACAGCTGTGGCAGTGCACAGCCTCCCTGCTCAGCTCCAGACTCCGAGGTCTCCCTGGTCCTTGGTGCTACGTCGTCATTCGTAACACTTCCTCCTTTGCTCGGGCAAGGACAGTGCTGGGTCCCCAGTGCACAGTGCTAGCTCGCACACTGATAACCTAGGATGTCTTGGTTGGCCCCTGCGCAGCTGTGTCTGCACCACTGGGCAGGGAGCAAGAGCTTTGGGCAAACAATCACTGTAGTTTTTCACGTGATTCCTCCACTTGCAGTGATGTTACTGAAGGAACAAGGTTCTTGGTCTCACAGCATTGAAGAATGAGGTTGCAACCAAAGGAAAAATGTTAGCAGAGAGTTTATTGGAAGTAGGAAGAATAATAGCGCGCTGATTCTGGAAGTGTCCCAAGTGAGTTGCCCCATAGCCAGAGCTAATTATGAATAAGCAGAGCCCAGGAAATACTCAGCTGTTTAGTGACCACCTATCACCGATGGCTCTGTGGATTTAAAACAACTACTTTGAACTCAGGCTCTCTCACCCATTTCCTCAGCATGCACTGTTAAAAAGAAAATGGGATTTTAGAGAAACGTTAGATAACTTGTATTTTCTTTCGTTTGACTTTAAATTTTATTTATTTATTTATCTATTCTTGTGTCTTTTTGAGACAGGGTTTCATTCTGCAGCTTAGATTGGCTTTGAACTTTATTTTGTAGAGCAAAAGAAGGTTCCTGTGTTTGCAGGTGTCCAGGCTGACAAGCAGCTGGTGGCGCCTGGGAGACGCTTGGTGCAGCCTGGGGCATCCCTGAAACTCTCCTGCATGACTTCAGGATTCACTGTCAGAAGCTGTGCCATAAGCTGGATCCAAAGGCTCCAGGGAAGGGCCTAGAGTGGATCTCATACATAGGTACTGGTGGTAGCACATACTACGCAGACTCTGTGAAGGGCGGATTCACCATCTCTAGAGAAAACGGCAAGAACATGCGGTATCCATAGATGAGCAGCCTGAAACAGGAGAACACAGCCCTGTATTAGTGTCCATGACACACAGTAAAGGAACATTTGTGTGAGCCCAGACAAAACCTCCTGGAAGCAGCGCTTATGCCCAGCAGAAGTCGGTGTAAGATGACAAAATCACTTGCTGGCCCCAGAAGCAGGAGCTGAGAAGAAAGCAGAGCAGGGAGCTCTTCCTGGGGATTCTGGGGTTCTCTTCTTTTTTAACATTTTAGGTCCTGAACCAACCCACATTGAAGTACCCAAGTTCAAGGAAAAATTCTCTGTTAAAAGTAATAGCATGAGTACATAAGAAACACTGATTATTTCATTTTCTGTGTATAAATTGTACTTATGGGTAAACAAAACTTGCACCCATCTCAAAGTAACTTGTGCATTTTGTGAAGTTAATTTTGTTTTCAGTGTCAAATCCTCACCATCTAAAGGGGGTCTGCTGGTTTAGTTTGGGTGATGAGGAACTGTCTAAGCAGTAATAAATGCTTCAGATTAGGAAATTAAATCCTTCTCATCTCTCTCTGTGGGGTCTCAGATCACACAGCTCCCTCCCCTCTTTGGCCATCTCAGGAGACCTGGTCCCCAGGCTCAGCCCCAGCACCATGAGGAACCCTGAGCTCAGGGGAGGAGGGAGAGGGGCAGCCTGACTGGACTCAGGGCAGTGTCTGTGGACCTAGATGTGCTCTTTCTAGACAAGAGGCCTGAGTAGGACTTGGTCCTGTGCCTTTTTTTGCACCTTAAAAATTAAAAAATTGATAAAATTCAGCAAAACCATCCTCTATCTTAATCTCCATTTCTCTCTCTCTCTCTTAACTTTTTGGTTTTTTTAATTTTATTTTAAACAAGAAAAATAGAACATTAAAGTGAAACAAAACAAAACAGTGTTAGGACACTTTGGATTCACTATTGTTACTGTATTAGATAATCTCATCCTCTAATTAGTTGCTCAGGCTCTCTGTCCCAGGCTTGCAAAGTCGATCAAATAATTTAAATGTTGCTGCCTTAATTTAGTTAGTAACATCTTAGCCTGCACTCCGTCGCATTGCTTATGTGTGTGTTACTGGTGGGAGACGGGGGAGGCTGCATAGCTACCTTGCTGCCTCTCCCCACCTGACAGGGCCTTGCCAACACATGTGGTGTGGTGACTGCAATGCTTCCTGCTATTTTCCTCATCCAACCACACCACCAACCCGGCTCTCTTGTTCTTGCTGGGTTCCTGAATTCTCCCTCTCTGGATTTCAACCCACGGGTCCGACCCTTCCCGTGTCTGTGGGCCCCACCTCTGTCGTCCTGCTCTCCCTCATGTTGCTGTAGTCCAGGGTATGGACAGCAGATGAGAAGCAGAGGGCCTTCCTCTGCTGCTCACGGCTTCTCCGTTCTCCTGTTAGTGTTGTCTCTTTTTTACTCATTTCTCAGTTTTCAGTCTATTCGGAATACAATGGTAAATAAATGAGGTGAAAATCTCTATTCTCACAATGTGCATGGTTTTTCCTAAATGGATTCCCATGATTCTACCATGATGTATTTTATTTTATTTCAATAATTTCTGTATTTAACAGTCACACATGTATTTGTAAATTTTTCTAAAACAACCAAATATACCTCTATGGTTACTAATATCACACTTATTGTTACAGTTTCCTGTGACCAGTAACATAGTGAACAGCAGGAAATCACTTGCATGCACATCCATGGCTCCTGAAGGCAGAGAAGAGCTGAAATTCTCACACATGGTCCCCATCTCTCAGATGCGACCAAGGACCTCACCCTCACACTCATCCCCAGAGGCTAACACACCTCCACCTCCAGCTCTGCTCTTTACCTAGTCCAGCATCCCCACTAATGTGTCCCTTGTCTAAGGACTGAAAATTCATGTACTTGATGTGATGTCTCAAGGGCATCTGTTATTTTCCCTCAGGGTAGGGACATCTTTGGGAATATGCCCTTGCCTGAGATGGAGTCTGATCTGCTCCATTGCACCTTCTGAATTACAGCTTCCTTCAGATCACTGAAAATCTGAAATATTTTATGAGTTCCCTTCCATTTCATTTGTCTTTGTTGTTCAGAGTTTAGTCATGATTGTGTAGATATCATTTGCAAATTGAGACCTTGGAAACCCACCTCAAGTAAGAGTTCAGATTTAGAATTAATGTTGTAACTTGTGTGTCAAAGAAAGTAGTGAATGAAACCAGGAAGAACATGGAACTCCTGGGTGTTCATGTCACCACGCATCTCAGCTGAGCTTTATTCAGCTATACCGCTGCTCCTCTGTGTCACTGTGTCTCCGAATTCTTGACCTGATAGTTATGAAGAGCCTCATTTCTTCTCAGATGTGTTTCACAAAGTTCACCTCTCACCCTTAGTTTATACTATCATCTCATCATACAGGAAAATCCATCAGTGAACCATCCTCACGTCCTAAGCGTGAAATCCATCACCGTCTTAGTCCCTGATTATCAACTTCCTCCTCACTGACACATTCCAGGTGTTTTCTTCTTCCTCTTCATGTGTCAGTATTGGTTAATTGTTGGATCTTCCCACCAGAACTGTAACACGATGTAGAGTACAGGCAACACTTGCCAATAACAAAACCCACAAAGGAAACATGCACATTCCTAACTCTAGTGACCAAATCCTCACTGACCTTCCAAGGATTTAGTAGAGCCTGTGACATCCTCCCCACCACAAGAGCTTAGGCATAACTGAACCTTTCTTCTTCTCTCTGTGGAATACATGTCAGTCTTCCTACAAATCCATCAAAGTCGTGTAATTCAGAACAGAGATCAGAACCGTGGGTGTATGACCTCAGAGCAGGGAGGTAGAGGGATGTGGTATCAAAGATCAGAACCATTGCCCATCCAGAGAGTAACAGATGTGTCTACTCCTGGATGTCAGGGTCAGTGCTCTCTTGCTCAGACTCAGAACAGCTCAAACCCTTGTCCAGAGCCTACCCTGAGGGTCCATATAAAACCTGCAAATCTATTTCTCCTTACTAATGTGGACTCGACTGTTACCTGTGTTCAGGCCACATGATTGTGACTAGATTTGGGGAGGGGGAGGAAAAAGGTAGAAAAGCACCTTGTATTATCTAACTGACCATGAGGAATGCAATCATTATATCCTGCAAATCTGTACTAATGAATAAGTAATAATTGTACAGAGTACAATATGCTATATTTCAGTCTCTCTCCAGGAAATGACATGGAGAAATAAGAACTTCAGAAGACATGGATACAGTCCAGTCAATGTATTGAGTGGACAGTGCACTGAAGCCAGGGACACATCCCAGTCACAGCTGTGACACAATAGCCTGGGGGTCTTGTGGATCACAGGTGAGGATTCCAATGGGGCTTTTCCTTTTCCAAAGTTGACAAGTAGTCCTCATGGCAGTGGTGATGATGCTGAACACTGTGCCTCCCTGCTGAAGAGGTCACATCCAGAATGACCCCTGCTTCCAGCCTTTGCCTCTCTTCACATTGGAGATCATAAGATGCAGTCCCCATCCTCAGCATCTCCCAGTGATGGAGCTGGCCTCTGCTCTCCATCGTGATTCACTCAGGAATCCTCAGCCCCACTTTCCTGACTCATAGACACCTTGATAAGGATGTCAGCTCAGAGAAGAATT